GACAAGGAGCTATAGTATGCTTGCAATGCAATTCTCGCTTTCCTGGGAACTACAGGCATGCAGATTTGTGGAGTTGTTTGGTTCTTTGGACTACAGCCCCCAGGATCCCCCAGGCACTCAGATTATGCTTCCTGAGGAATTCTGGGAGTTGTAGTCCTGAAAAAAAATCTGTTAGGAACAAATTGCTATTGGGCACAATCAGGCATCATTATGGAACTGCTAGAAAGCTCAGCAAATGAGGTCTCTAGTTCTGCAAAGTTTTTGAGTTCTTTCCTTGCACCAGAAACGGCAACAGGCACTACACCAGGGGTGGGCAATTAATTTCTATGGGGGGCACATGAAAAATCTGAACTGTGTTCAGGGGCCGAACCAACTTTACTTAAAATTAAAATGAAACAGCGATATTTGTTAATCTTCACAAATACTAAAGAGATTTTTTGCGGTATGTTAAAGATAAGCAACTGATCAACTTTAGACAAAAAGCTATAAATGGTTTTGATGTTCAAAACTGTCCGTGGGCCGGACAGGAGCAGCTCGCGGGTCTTATGTGGCCCTCGGGCCGCACTTTGCCCAGGTCTGCACTACACAAAGAGAATGGGATGAGAAGCTGAATTTGTTCACAAGAGTTGTGCGGTGATTCCAGTCATTCTTGGATGGTGCTTGAAAAATCAGTGAGCAAATGGTTTCAAAACAGTGGGAACAGTTATTTCCTCTTTTGTTTTTCCTGCCTCTTCTCCTTGGACTGACTCAGGAGGAAGCCTTTGGCCAGGGCCACCGCCTGGGAGCTGGTCTCCGCTCCACATTCCCTCACCCAGCTGGATATCTCCGGGGGAAGGATGGCCAGGATCACCAGGTCCAGGATCTGAGCCTTCGTGTGTCTTTCTGGTTGAAGCCATTGATGGCAAAGAAGGTGGAGGTGGCCCCAAACCTCTCAGGTTCTCTGAAGCATCCTGGGAGTGGAAATGCCTGCAAGGGTGGTACTTGACGTCTTCTGTTCAACCCTTTCAAAGAACGTTCTGGTGCTGCAGATCCATTTCCGGTTTCAGAACAAGCCTTCTTCTGGTGTATGTATGGTGGTGAATCATAAGCTCATGAAACTGGTGCTGGACCCGTATTGTTACATAGCAACAATATCTGGATAAGCTCTACATTCAGGCTCCCAGTTGAATCACCTGGCAATAGGTCAGCACTCACACAAAAGAGAAAATGGGGGACTCCTGTTAGTGCCCTGCCCATTGGGCTACCTGAGGTAACTGCCTCACTCTGCCTAATGGTAGCGCCAGCCACATGCGTAAAAGGGCAACACCCTTTTACTAATATAATATACGTTACAGGAACAGCTAATATGCATCACAGAAACAGAACATTCTGTTAATGTTCTCCCTTCTTCTTGACTTACATGCTCCGCTGAAGTTTTCCTCTTGTCCTTTTCAGACCTGGAGATTTTAAGTAAAAAAATAAAACATGGGGGAACCCGGACAAGATGGAGGTCTTGAGAGTGGGTGGTCCTTCCATCAGCGGCATGGGTGACTCTCTTTCTTTTGGGGGGTCGACCCTCACCGCAAAGAGCAAGGTTTGCAGCTTGGGGATACACCTGGACTCAGCGCTTACCATGGAAACCCAGGTAGCGTCCATGGTCCATTCTGCCTATTTTCACCTGTGGCGGATTGCCCAGCTGCCATCATATCTTGATGGGGGAGCCCTCACTACTCTTGTCCATGCGCTCGTAATCTCGTAATTAGACCACTGTAATGTACTCTACGTGGGGCTGCCTTTGGGATTGATGCGGAAACTTCAAATGGTGCAAAGTGTGGCAGTCAGGCTCCCCCACCCTGGCTGCTTTGCAATGGTTGCCCATTCGTTTCCGCATTGATTTCAAAGTTTTAATGATGACGTATAAAGCCCTAAACGGTTTGGGACCTCGATGCCTGGCATATCGCCTTCTCCCACCCAAGTCTACTCGAATCACCCGACAAAGCCAGCAGGGACGGCTGAGGGGCCTTACGCCGAGAGAGGCCCGGAAAGAAAGAAGAAACTGGGCCTTCTCGGCAGTGGCCCCTCGGCTGTGGAATACTCTGCCAACAGAAATCCACCTGGCTCCCTCGCTGGGTGTTTTTAAAAGCCATTTTAAAACTTGGCTCTTTAGGCAGGCCTTCCCTCCAGTCAATTACGTAATTGTCTCATTTCTTTAATCTCCCATCTTGAGAATGTATATATCCACTGTTAGTTGGTTGTGTTATTAGGTTTTAGTAAGTATATTATTCTATCATTTTTTGTAAGCCGCCCCGAGCAGACTTTGTCTAGAGGGGTGGGGTATAAGTCTAAATAAAGTAAAGTAAAGTAAAGTAAAGTAAAGTAAAGGAAGGAAAACATATTCTTCAAAGAACTGTCAGGTAATGCCATTGAATTAATTCTGAATTATGACAGTCTTTTTCAGGGTTTTCTAAGTAGAGAGTACTCAGAAGGGGTCTACAACCCCTTTTCTCTGGGGTGGGGGGTGCGGGCGGCCTGGCACTGTGCAGTTTTTGCCCAAGGCTACACAGGCTGGCTCTTCTCTCAGGAGGCACCACGGGGGGATTGAACTCCCAACCTCCAGCTCCACATACAGGCGGCTAACTCACTGAGCTGCAACCATTACTGTGCAAAAAATATTACTGTGCCAAAAGCAGAGAATGCTTACAAAACTTATTCATTTTTATTTACAATTTTACAAAGCATGGGTTCTCTTCATTTTTTTAAAATCATGTAGTTGGTCAACAATACATGAGGGGGCAGCGGACACAGCTTCCGACTATGACTCGGGAGATCTGGGTTCAAATCCCTGGTTCAACCACAGAAACTCACCAGGGGTGAGACTCAAACACCTCAGAAACCCTGTCAGGGTTGCTGTAAGTCGGAAATGACTAGGCAGCATGTGACGGGAGAAAGACCCACGATCAGATCAAAACTTTAATAACACTGTAAAAATGTACATAGTTTCTCTCTCCGGCTGTATATTTGAAGGCATATCCATTAATTAAGATGTTTACATGGTACGAACAAAGATATATTTCCCCTCTTGTGTGAAATCCTTTTGATTTGTTAAGGACTAATTAGTGCTAGCCTCTGTATTGCAAGGTCAGAAGACCAGCCATCGTAAGATCGAATCCACGTGACAGAGTGAGCTCCCATCGCTTGACCCAGTTCCTGCCAACCTAGCAGTTCGAAAGCACGTAAATGTGAATAGATAAATAGGTACCACCTCGGTGGGCGAGGTAACGGCGTTCCGTGTCTAGCTGCGCTGGCCACATGACCACGGAAACTGTCATTGGAAAAACGCTGGCTCTGCGGCTTGGAAACGGGGATGAGCACCGCCCCCTAGAGCCGGACACGACTGGACAAATTGTCAAGGGGAACCTTTACCTTTACCTAATTAGTGGTAGGGTGAAAATTTCTACAGCTTCTCCCGTCCATGAGTTTTTTGATGCGAAATAAGGCCGGCGCTTCTACTGAAGCTTTTCCCACATTCCAGACACTGAAATGGTTTCTCTCGGTTGTGAACTCTCTGATGTGAACTGAGGTTGGTTCGCCACCGGAAGCTCTTTGCGCAATGCATGCATTTATACGGTTTCTCCTCCCTGTGTGTTCTTTGATGCGAGGTAAGGCTGGACCTCTGCCTGAAGTTCTTTCCACACTCCAGGCACTTATAGGGCATCTCTCCTGTGTGGATTCTCTGATGTCTGTCCAGACTTGATTTCTGCCGGAAGCTCTTTCCACACTCCAGGCACAAATACGGTTTCTCTCCTGTGTGGATTCTCTGATGGGTCGTGAGAATGGAGGTCTGACTGAAGCTCCTTCCACAGTCCAGGCACTGATAGAGCTTCTCCCCCATGTGGAGTCTTTGATGGTAGATGAGGTCTGTGCTCTTCCCGAAGCTCTTTTCGCACTCCGAACATTTATAGGGTTTCTCCCCTGTGTGGATAGTTTGATGGGAACTCAGGGTATCTTTTCTGTTAAAGCTCTTTCCACATTCCAAGCATTTGTATGGTTTCTCCCCCGTGTGGATGATTTGATGTGACAAAAGGATGTCTCTCCGGTTAAAGCTTTTCCCACATTCTAAACATTTGAACGGCTTCTCTCCTGTGTGGATGATCTGGTGAGAAGTCAGGTATTTGCTAGTGGTGAAGCTTTTCCCGCACTCGAGGCATTTAAAAGGCTTCTCCCCTGAGTGGATCTTCTGATGTAAGGCGAGGGAGTCTGCCCAACGGAAATTCCTGCCACATTCCAAACATTTATAGGGTTTCTCCCCTGTGTGGATTCTCTGATGGCATGTCAGACTTTTGCTGATACTGAAGCTTTTTCCGCACTCAAGGCATTTATAGGGTTTCTCCCCTGTGTGAGTTCTCTTGTGGAGAGTAAGGGTTGATTTCCAACGGAAATTTTTCCCACAGATAAGGCAGTGAATGCTTTCTTTTCCTCTCTCTGATTCTTCTTGAACTGAGATTTCACAAACAGCATGGTCCTCTTTCAATATTTTCCTCTTCTTCGGCCCTGTTTTAGCTTTTGTTCTCTGCTTTCCAACTTCTTCCCACCTGGCTTTTCCCAGTAACATCCTTCCTGGTTTACCTTCATGTTCACTCTCCCGTCCATCATCTCCTGGAAAGGATAAAAATAATGGGCAGAAAAGCCTGAGATTAAAATGTTTACCCGGTCCACTGTTGCTATGAGCAACGGAACAAGAATAAGAGGGGTGAGGTAAAACAGACACTGCCATGAGTTACAGAGAGTGTGTTGACTGACATCAAACTGCAAAATTTGGAAATTAAAATGGCTACAATGCCCTCATCATGGCCAGAAGTCACCTTCCTGAATTCAAATTAATTGAGCCCCAATATTGTGCAGAGATGGGCATTTCATGAGAAGGCAGGATTCTCTGGAAAAGACAATAATACTTGGAAAGGTGGAAAGCAGCAGGAAAAGAGGAAAACCAAATACAGTGGTGCCTCACATAATGAGTGCACCGTTTAACGATGAATCCGCATAGCGATCTATTTTTTGGGATCGCTAATGTGATCGCATTGCGATGTTTTAATAGCCTAAACATCACATTGTGATGATCGGTAAGCGTTTCGCTTACCGATCTTCGCATTGCGATGTTTGCGGAACAGCTGATCGGCGGTTCCAAAATGGCCGCCGGGTGCCCAAAATGGCCGCCGCAACCATTTTCGCACAATTTCCTCGCTTACCGAGGCAGCAAAAATGGCGGCACTATGGAGGATCTTCGCATAATGGTGAGTTTTCGCCCCATAGGAACACATTAAACGAAGTTTAATGCATTTCTATGGGCTCCCCCCCCCTCCGCCTTGCGATGTTTCCGGATAGCGACGATTAATCCAGAATGGATTAACGTCACTATGCAGGGCACCACTGTATGAGATGGATGGACTCCATAAAGGAATCCACAAGCTTGAGTCTGCATTGCTCAGCAAAGCTATGGAGGACTGGACATTTTCGAGATCACTCTTTCATACAGTCGCCATACAGAGAAGGCCACTTGATGGGGCGTAACAACGAAAAAATTGTGTAGCGAATGTTAAATGGGCCCTATGAAGTTCAAAAGGGAGCTCTGGGTCACTTAGAATATCTCTCAGCTAAGCCTCCCCTATAGGGCTCTTCGTTGTATTCATTTGTTTCTTAAAATTATACCTGGCATTCTCAAGTAAAATGTCCAAAGCGGCTTGTTTTCTGCAGCTAAACGGAGGAAAATTAAGATAAAATTTTTCTGTCTCTTTAGAGGTGAAACCTGGAAATGCCCAAAAACCAAAGAGCAATCATGTAACTCTATGGCAGAATTCATACTGTCTTTTTTTTTTCCCCCCCGTATATGCCACTACTCCAAGTTTGGCATCATCGTTTAAACTTGTAAACAAGCATCTTTTAACTCTTTTAAACGTAGGAATGTTTTGTCTATAACATAAACAAGCTGGGTTTATAATCTGAAAAGAGTTTTTAAAAACGGGAAAGAAAGAAATAAGTTAAATGGCGAGATAAAAACCCAATATAAGAAGAGCATTTCATCTGCACATTTCTTCAATATATAATCGTAAACTTTTACTTCTTTAAAACTTTAAATGCTTTTCTCTTCCTTACATGTGGATAGACGCTTGCTTTAACACTTTTTCCACTGTGCAGTGAGAGTTTTTTTTCTGGCCACAGGGAGAGAACTGGAAAAGAGGAAGGAGTGGGCAAAATTTTCTCGCATGTCCTCTAAGTCTAAAGAGCATTGAGGGAGTATTTATGAGTTTTTTTAAAATTACAATATTTGGGATGGTCTCGAGAAGTCATGAGGCTAAAGAACGGTAGCTCTGACAGAGTTTGGCTTGTTTGAAAAAAAGGCTTCTTTGAAAAGACTCCAGAAGCCAGCTAGGCTACAAGGGACAAAATGGCAACACCGAAATAAAAATCAAAATAAAATAATGTTATTTCTTATTATAATAAGAATCCAAACAAACGAAGAAGGGTTAATCTGCTCCTCAGGGCTTATGACTTGACTTTACCGCTTAAGGGCAAGAAAAAGCCTTACCTAAAGGAGCTCCAATGCCAAAATTATCCTCCATTCTTCCTTGTGGGATGCGACGTCTGGTCTTAATGCAGTCAGACACACTTCTCAGTGAAATACACAACTGCCTTTTCCAAAACCACCAGATCCTAGAAGAGAACATATGGAGAGTCATGCTAGGCTTTCTGTTCCCCCAGTGCCCAGTCGGATGAATTTAGAAATTCATCCAGCATTCTTCTAAAGTTGTCCAAGTTTTCAGCCACTAGTACACCTTGTGGCAGTGAGTTCTGCAGCCTCTGTTAGCATCAACATTTGGAAGTGCTACTTTTTGCACTAGAAATCCCATGTTGGCTGGAGGATTGTGGGAGCTGTAGTCTAAAATAGTCATGTTTTAAAGCTCTAGTTTCCAAGCTCATTTATTGCCGCCTTTTAGTTCTATTATTTTTTTAATACATAGTAAGTTGTCTTGGGTCCCTCAAGGGAGAAAGGTTGGGTGTAAGTTAATAGACATGGTCTAGAGGGACGNTAAATAAATAAATAAATAAATGGAAATAGAAATGGTAAGAAAGCAAGCCTGCAGCCAACAGCTGCTGTTCCTTATCACTGTACCTAGATATTTTTTTTAAAAAAAACAATTATTTAATCTGTTAGTTAATAGTACCATTCATGTCCCATCTTCCTTTTGGTGGCCTCAATGTGTTTCATATATCATTCCTTATGAAATCCGCACAACAACCCTGTAAAGTACGTGTGTGTGTGTGTGTGTGTGTGTGTCTGTGTGTGTGTGTGTGTGAGAGAGAGAGAGAGAGAGAAGGTGTGATTGGCCAATAGTCAGCCAGTCACAGCTAGATTTGAACCCAGATCTCCCTGCCTTTCAGCACATAAACCTCTACTACACCACAGAGATTCTTCAGTTCGCTTTGTGAACGAATCCATTTTATCAATATAGCAACTCTCTCTGGAGGATGGGCAGAAACAGCATCTACCTGGTGACTGATTCAGACTGGAGAGGGCAGAGTAACACGTCCCTCATTCAGGCATGGTGCTTTGCCAGCGAACCTTGGACCAGTCAGCACCTCAAACTGGCCTACTTCACAAGACTGTTGTTGTCGAGACACCAAAGAAAGGGAAAGGAAGAACTCATGAACGTCTGGGTAGAAATAAAGGACATTGAATAAAAGGACAAGTAGATGTGGCAAACAGTAGGTGCTCTCTTCCGATGCTCAGAGTTTCGGAAAATTTACTTTGGGGACTACAAGTCCCAGAATCCCCCCATCCACAGATTCTGGCAGTTATAGTCTAGAAACGTAGCTTCCCCAAATAGTGCAGATGCCTTCACTGCTACGTATGCCTCCCAACCTTGCATCCCCTATCAAAGTCTGCCAAGAAATGTTTTTGGCCTCCCCCCAGCCTAGATATTTTGGACTACAACCCCCATGATCCTTTAACCAACAGCCACACAGCTGGTTGACTCACCAGATCAAGGGAAGAACAAAGAGCAGATCCCACTTCCAGACAGATATCCAAATCTTGCATCTTTGCCAATAAAATAAAATGACATTCACTAAGCAGGATAGCAAGTTGGATTGGCATTGGAGGACCCCCCTCCCTAAGCTTCTCAAATTTCCTTCCTTTCTAGGAAACCGGGCCTTCTCATTCATTTTAACCCTTTCCAGCCAGCAAACATCTGTCCGGCCAATCCCTGGAGGCAATCCTAGCCATTTTTGTTTTTACGGTAACTCGCCTTCCTCCTCCTCCTCCTCCTCTTCCTCCGCTGGGCAGCAGGAGGCCTCTTTTGGAGCAAGCCTTGAGGACAACCCGGCCCTTTAGAAAAAGGAGCTGATGAAAATGACGAAGTGTTCTGTAACACTTTAAAAGCTTGCATGGTTGCTTTGGCATCAGCTGTACACTGGGGTCCTATACTCTTAGACAATCATCTGGCAGTTCTGCTTTGATTATATTCCTGCATTGAGCAGGGGGTTGGACTAGATGGCCTTGTAGCCCCCTTCCAACTTCACTTTGATTCTATGACTGATTTGAATAAAGACTGCAATTTTTTAAAAAAATTAACTTCTGGTCTCTTTCATTGGAAGGATGTTTGGGGCTGTCTTTGTTGTATCAACATAATGAGAAAGAAGGGGTGGGATGTCAAAAATTTAATGGAGTTTTCTCTGAGGAAGGTTAAGGCCCAGGGAGGTGGTGCAGTGTAATGGTTACGGTGTTTCAGCTTCCCGCTGAGGCATGAAAACTCGCTGGATAGCCTTGGGCTGGTCACAGTCTCTGAGTCTGGTGACCTACCTCACAGGGGGGTTGTGAGGATCGACTGGGAAGGAGGGGGACTGTCCATACTTTCTTGAGCTCCTTGAATGAAAAAGGAGATATCAGATTGACCAACAGTTTATTTGGTGAGAAATAATGTCCCCAGTAACTTACATTGTCTTTTCTAATCCCTTCCTTACTAAAACCAGCCCTTCCAAATTGCCCTGCGTCTTCTGATGCATCCGGCATGTATCTGGAGTTGCAGTTGGAGGCAAAACAAGTGTAAGAAAGGAGAGAACATGTTTTTTTTTAATGTCATTTATAAAAATGGGAGCAGGGAGATTCCCCAGAAATTTGGGGAAACTGATCTTCCAATTTCCTTGCTAAGAAAAGGATATTGTCCTCACAGAACATGATTTGAGAAATTACCGTCATGGACTACAGCTCCCACTTTCCCCAAGCAGGCTGGCCTGGGGATGATGGGAACTGTTTGTTTGTTTGTTTGCTTTTTATAGTAACTGTGAAGTTCTCCTTTAGATCTTTTCCAGCAAGGCTGCTGTTAGGTGGGTGAGAG